GTTTATTGGATTTGTTTAGGTGAATACCTTGAATCCTATTAGAATAAAAGAAAAAAAAAGTTCAAAAAAGAGGAGGAAAGCGAAGAGCGTGGAGCATGAGGAAAATAAAGAAAACGAAGCTAAAGAATTAACGATTTACACTATATCAAAGTGTCCATTCTTACCAAAAAACGCAGGTAGATTAATACAGTTTTGTTAATTCATTGTTTTCAGTTCAAATTTGATTACAACCGCGATTAGTTAAAGGTTCCTATATTGTATTTACCAAGAGCATTGAGAGTTTCTTCAATTTTAGCATGACCATGAAAGGAGGTGGGATACTGTAAAGATCAGGAAAAAGAAACAGTTATACACGCCCAGTTATACACATTTTTTAAAATTCAAATTACAAAAACAACATGCTTATGATTTTTCCAGAAAAATTTTTATATGATTTTAGTCGGACAGAGGACCGTTTGTTAATTGTAAGAAATCTTGGTAACTTTCTTGTTCTGTAACCTTTTGTAATATTCGCTGCGACAAATGACTATTTCACTCTGGTAAACTCTTTAAGGCCGCAAAAGTCAGTCTTTCACAAAAAAACGTTACAAAGTTAATTATACGTGCGACTGTGGTGCTTCGGATAATGAAAGTTTGCTAGGGCTAAGTGATTCCAAACTACTAGAAGAAGGCTGCAACTTCTCAAAAGAATTTCCTATTGAGGATTTTGTTTGTCAACCATCAAAAAAGGCTGCAGTTCAAAGTCTGGATGAAGATCATCCGCAAAAGAAGGAAATGGTATGACTCTGTGTCAGTAATACTGACTGTATTAAATGAAACCTATGATTTAAGAAATAGTAGTGATAAGGAATAAAATTTTCAGACTGAGTTGGTCACGAGTAATCTAGCGAAAGGTACTCATATTCCGGTGACACTGTCCGATAGTTTTCAGTTTCAATGCAGGCTCAAGATGGAAAAGCCGAATTTCAACTTCGTTAACGAAGCGGAAGAACTTCCAAAAATGCTTCCAGAAAATGCCAAATTTACGTGGTTAACTGATCAGCATAAAGCATTCAATATACAGTTAACTTCTTTTGTTCGTCCTATGTTTCCAGTTTTCAGTATCACGGTTGACATGCTGCTTTATAACGTTCTCAGGTGACTTTTAATTGTAGTTTAATTTTAACTCGTTTTGGAATATAAAAAATGACTTATTCTGCTAGTAGTTTTGCTGTTTTGGATAGCTGCTCATTGTTTGCGATCCTTCAAGGTTGACAGAAACTTTCTGTAGAGAGGAAGCTCTTCATGAAAGTAGTCGATTTTTCTGATAATGATATATCCTTTCTGGAAAAACTTTTCTTTGCTTAGTCTATTATAATTAGGTCTAAAATACGACAGCAGTAGTTTTTTTATTTCTTTTCAGCATCCACTTAAGTGGTGATTTCGCTCTGAAGCCGCCCGAAAAAATAATCAGCGTCTGCGATAATTTGGATTCTCTAATTAGCGAGTATATAACGTCATTCAACAGATGGATGACTAAGTCGTTATTTAGTTTCAAATTTCTTTTTTGTACTGCTCAAAAAAATATTTATTTCATCGATAGTTCTTCAGTAGAAGTCGTGCGGGATACTTGCCCATGCTGACATTTCCTTCTGACCGACTGATTGGGGACAGGAATGATATGCTGGACGAAGAAGATTGCGAATCGCGTTTTGAATTTCAACAAGTCAGCAGTACGATCGTCGACGTTCTGGACAGTAAAAGTGACGAAGAGCTTCTGATGTCCGTAAAACAACACCAGGAAGAAAGTGCCAAAGGAAGTTTTTCCAGCGATAGATTGCCGAAGTTTAAGGAAGTATGTTCATACACTATGGTTCTAACAAATACAAATATAATTGATGAAGTTCAGTTTGCAGGAAATTGTTTTTTT